ATAAAATAAAGGATTTTTATGGAAAGTTTTTAATTGAACAGAATAACTTAAATCAGAATACCTTATTAATCCCTGAGGAAATTATGTGGTTACCGTTGCTCCAAGAAAATAAGAACAGTAACAGACTGAAATAAATTATATAAGATACAACTTACAAATAAAAGATACAAGAAATTAAAAAGTAATTTATTTTATTATGTGGAATGGCTCTAATGTATACAAATAGGTCAATTTTAAAAATTGGGCCACTCAGAATATACATTTGGCCATTGCTACTGCTTTTACAGGTCCATCCATAAATTTAAAAAAAAATGGATATAAAAAATAGATTTTTTTTATTTTTTGGCTTATTCCCTTAAAAGTAAATGAAAATCAGAATTTGCTAAATTTAACTAAAGGTTTCACCACTAGGCCGCAGTGTTTTACCAGAAAGTTTTAATGTAGTTGTCCCCATATTAATAACAGTATTTGCCCTAAGTGGTGCAGTAGATTTGTTATAGGGCTTTTTCTCTCTCCCCCTTTTTAAAATCACTGGTTTGTTGTTGTTTTTCACTTAAGATTTTTGTTTTTTTTATTTCTGGTGAGTAGCAGCAGATCCCCCAATTTTAATTACTTTATCAGACAAGTTCCCACCCCCTGCTTCAACATGACTTTTACCAGGTGCGTTTTACCACTCTGTTAGTGGGGTTTTTTGTGCATCATATTTTAGTTATTGGGAAGTCTTCCATCAGCTAGTTCTACTGGCAGAAGGAGGCCTGTAATCTTGGAGGAGCTACTGAGGAAACGATGGGTATTTCAGAGCGGTCGCTGTTCTATCGATCGCTTGTCATAACTGATTAAGATAGTGATTGGAGCTTGATGTGCTTCACGGAGCATTGCAGCAACAAAGTGACACACTCGTACTTCCTGGACCAATGTCGGATGGTATCAGACTTCAGGTTGTTTCGAGTCGATGGTGACATTAACCTGAGCTGCAGGAAGAAATATAGAGGAATGGAAAAGTTGTATGATTACGGACCCTTTACTCCAGGATAGTATTTCTGTGGCCTGAATATTGAACTGGCAGCTGCAAAATCCATCTATATTACTTGCTGAAGGAATTCATCATTGCTGTTGCTGTCTGAATCCAGTTTCGGTCAACATACTTTCCGGATTCTTCAATCAGCTGGAAGAGGTCACGTAAATGGCTGTGGTTATTGAATGGATCCTGACTGCCCTCTTCACCTCTTACTGGACATGCAGCACTTTTGGCTCCATTCCCAGAAGGACAGATACAGAAAACCACCTCATACAGTAATAGCTGCTTTCATTTTAGTGTTTTTGTTTGTTTGTTTGCTTGTTTGCTTGTTTTCTTGCTTTGTTTTTGTTGTTGTTTTTTGCCAAACTTAAAATATAAGTTGTTTTTCATATGTTCTGGATGCTGTAACACAAATTTTCCCAACTGTTCAGAATTTTTTTTTACTTTTATATCCGATATAATTTTCTTTTTTAAACGTTATTTATTTATTTATTTAATTATTTATTTTATTATTTTTAAACTGTCACGTGATCATGCCAGTGACATAATGTAAGGACTGCTGTGTAGATATTCCAGTCACAAAAACATCAAAAGTTTGGTCTGACCACATTGAGAATAGTACAAAGTACAGCACATGTATATTTTATTTTAGTAACTTCTGTAAGTATATTAGCTATAATGCTAAATTTTATTGTGCATCTGTAAAATCTTTTGCATAGCGTTCTCAGGTAGTTTGCGTGTGCATCCTCGGAGTCTTGTAGCTGGGGCCTTTCTCTTTCGTTTGTTTTCCCACTGTTCAGTCATGTGGTTTTTGGGCTACTGCCAACTGTATTTGCACAGAAGTAGCAAGAGCTGCTGCATACACTTGCATGGATATTTTCTTTATGCCACACATTTGGCATTATAGCAAATTAATAACAAACATTATTAAGATTGCATTACACTTAACATATCCATGAATCTACTAGCAATCCAGTAAATGTCATCATCAGGCAGTAAGCGTGAGGGTCTGTGCAGTTGTCGCAACCCTGTGTCCAAAGTATATGGTACAACCGGTCTGTAAGCTACTCTTATTTGTGCTGTCCGTCACCCAACCAAGAAGAAGAACAAAGTTGTGGCGTACAGAAGGTTAAAGTGGGAGAGTTAAAAACCATGCCAAGTTTTTATTGCTGCCACCACCTGTACCACTCAGATGTTTACTATTTTTGTTTTTTCTTTCTAAATTTCCTTTCTTTACAAGGGGAATGACTCTTTCTGGGTGCTTAAGGAATTTATTGCTGTATTGATAGCTCCAATACACGTCCTTTCACATTTGCCTCTTGAGCTACATTTCCTCTTCTTTCCACACTGGGCTCTTGCAGTCTGGACTCCATATTGACTCACTACACCACCATGTGATTCAAACTGGCATTACAGAAGACTTATTGTTCAATTCACTTGGAATCTCAAAAACCCATTAGACACCCCCACCTTTTGTTTTTGTTTGATGATTTACCACTTTCCAAAAGAATATGATTTTAATCATGGGTGCCCCTCATGCCTCAATAGGTATGCATGCATTTGGAAATGCAGCTACCCCTTGCGCAAGATCCTGCCTAGTTGTAAAGCTAAATAAAAGTGTTTCATGCAGTTTTCATTCATCAGGCATACTTCCTGAAATTGCTTAATATGCAGGCATGCAGATATGGTTTGGATTCGATCAAACTGTGAGGTGTCGACTTATATTTAATATGCAATAAACTTGCAACAAAACAGAACTGTGCAAAAGTCTTGAGGCATCTCTCATTTCTTTGTGGGTTTTGGTGTTTTGTTTTTCTTTGTTTGTTTTTTGTTAAGCAATAGTTCTACAGGCTTGCTGAATGTCTTTCAGAGTTCTCCCTTGAAAATTGGCTTTTTTCCAGTCATGAAAGGATGATGGGACATTGTCATAATGCTGCTAGACAGCATAGACATACGTTTGTGAATGTGATGACTCGAGAACATGGCAGTGTAGGATTTTAAATTCATGCCATAGGTGAGTTTACTGAAAATCTCAGACAAGTTCGAATCTTGGTGACATTGACTTCAAGGTTAAGGTCAGAGGTAAATTTTTTCCTGACTTGTGAATGTGGTAACTCAAGAAGTCTTATTGACAGACCAAAACAAAGGGTAGTGAACATCCAAAGAACAACTTTAAATGGCAAGAAGCTTGGCTAAGAGTTCAGGCTGTGCTGAGGAATAAATGTGGTCCTTCCAAATACTGACTGACTACTTTTTGTTTTATATGCTTTATTTCTATTTATGTTTGTACATGCTTCATTAAATTACTGCATCTATTTCCATTTTGGTACCAAAATATAAAGAAATGAGGTTTGGCTTGAGAAATTTACACAGTACAATAATGTATCACAGTTATTCTAAGATACACAATTGTATTTGTTTGGGTTGTTTTGTTTGTTTGGCCATGTGGCTAACGCTCTTCAATTTCTTTACAGCTATGAGTTCCCAGCTGCAGGTGTTCTCCCCTCCGTCAATCTCCTCCAGTGCCTTTTGCCGCGTCAAGAAGCTCAAGGTGGAAAGCAACGTTTGGGACGTGTCCACCACTGAGGCTTACGGATCCATAGCGGGCCAGTCCGCATACACATTCACCCCAGCCATGGCTGTGCCACCATTTGCGCCATCTCTGGTCTTCCCTCCTACAGCGCCCGGCTCCAGGGGTCAAGTGGTGGTGCGAGCAGCTGATAGCACCGGCAGTCTTCCTCGTGGATCCAGTCGACGCGTCACTGAGCAGGCTACATCCTCCTCTTATGCTCACGAGACGTCCTCTGAAACTAGGGGGCACAGGCATGGGCAGAAGAGAAAGATGGAGGCGGCCAGCGACGGTAGCGGAAGCGGATGTGGAAGCGTCCAGATATTAGAAGAGCTCTCAGCTCCTGCGGCAACTTACTCCACGCGTACAGGCGGCGGTGGAGGCGGGGGCACAGGCCAGTCCATACCTCACTCGGCTCCAACCACCAAGAGCAGCAGCTCCAATGGTGAAGGGGATTATCAGCTTGTGCAGCATGAGATCCTCTGCTCCGTGTCCAGCAGCTATGAAGTGCTGGAGTTCCTGGGGAGGGGCACATTTGGACAAGTGGCTAAGTGCTGGAAGAGGGGAACCAATGAGATTGTAGCAATCAAGATTCTGAAAAACCACCCTTCATATGCTCGGCAGGGCCAAATTGAGGTAAGTAGACAGGATTTTGTTCAATGTACCGGTTTCTTCTAAAAGTTTACGCTACATACACAAATTGCTGTTCACTACACTTGCATTCCCTTCATAGGGGTGTACTAGCATTTGTCTTTCTCATCATATTTGGTTGGGTTTTTTTTATTTCCTAATAGGTGGGCATTCTGAACCGGCTGAGTGCAGAGAACGCAGATGAGTACAACTTTGTGCGTTCGTACGAATGCTTCCAACACAAGGGTCACACCTGCTTGGTTTTTGAGATGCTTGAACAGAACTTGTACGACTTTCTCAAGCAGAGCAAGTTCAGCCCACTTCCCCTACGGCACATCCGCCCCATTTTGCAGCAGGTTGGCAAACTGTGAATGCAGGAAAAAAGTTGATTCCTCTTTTTTCACCCAGACTAACTCTCATGTGTTCATGTCTTTAGGTGGCTACAGCACTAATGAAACTGAAGAGCCTGGGTTTAATTCATGCAGACTTGAAGCCTGAAAACATCATGTTGGTGGACCCCATTAGACAGCCCTACAGGGTGAAGGTCATCGATTTCGGCTCTGCAAGTCATGTGTCCAAAGCAGTGTGCTCAACCTACTTACAGTCTCGTTACTACAGGTAAGTGGAGTGTTTGCAGTGTTATGCGTAAGAGTTGTGTTAATATGACTCAGTTGAGTAGCCCGGTTCTGTCCCCACATTAATGTATAAATCTCATCTTTCTTGTTTAGAGCTCCGGAGATCATTTTGGGGCTGCCCTTCTGTGAGGCCATTGACATGTGGTCTCTAGGGTGTGTTATTGCTGAGCTGTTTCTGGGTTGGCCTTTGTACCCTGGAGCCTCTGAGTATGACCAGGTCAGTCATGTTAATGGTCCCAAGGACTTACAAGTTAGCAAAAACAGTGCTCAAAGAAAGACTAGGAAAGTCTTCCTTTGAATAAAGGTCACATTTTGCTTCAAGTAAGCAAGACTACATGAATGTGCCACCACCCTGCTTTGTAAGGTATTTAGTTTTTCTCACATCAGATTGAGTGTTGTTGGCAAATTATAATTGACCTATTAACCAAGAGAGGGTTCTAAAATGCCATGCCGCTCTGAATTCAGGTATACGTATTTAATAAATAAGTCAGTTATAGTACTCTTAACTACACAGTACTTGAAACATCGCAGTTCTGCAGTGATTGCTTAATCTGAATATTTTCTTCCGTGTCCAGATCCGTTACATTTCCCAGACTCAAGGCCTACCTGCCGAGTATCTTCTGAGTGCCGGCACAAAGACGAGCCGCTTCTTCAATCGAGGCCCTGACTCTAGCTACCCGCTCTGGAGGCTTAAGGTTAATATTACGGTATCTTCTTGAATAAGCTGTAAAGAGACTTGATGCTCGTTTTGATTTGGTTCCTTCATTTTGGTTGTCCCCATTCAACTGATTTAATGTTTGTAAATGGTAGTGTTATGAAACATAAATGGATATTGTGCTTCTTTTTTTAGACCCCGTCAGAACATGAAATGGAGATGGGCATCAAATCTAAGGAGGCTAGAAAGTACATCTTTAACTGTCTGGATGACATGATGCAGGTATATCCAAATAAGTGCATAACCCAGGAAATGGCATTAAATATGGCATGTAGTGATTGCCTGACCAGGTTTTTCCTTTTTTTCCTTCCCTTCCCATTAACGTACCAGGTCAACCTTTCCTCTCACTTGGAGGGAACTGACATGTTGGCTGAGAAAGCTGACAGGAGAGAGTTTATAGACCTCCTAAAGCGAATGCTTCGTCTGGATGCTGACAAAAGGATCACGCCTACAAAAACTCTGGGTCACCCCTTTGTCACGATGAGCCACCTCATGGATTATCCCCATAGCTCCCAGTAAGTGTGTGTAGCAGGATGAAGAGTTATTGGTCTATTTAAATGCATTTGCTGATGCAATGGTATTAATTCTTCTTCAGTGTGAAGTCGTGCTTCCAGAATATGGAGATCTGCAAGCGCCGGAGCTCCTATGAAAGCAGCAAATCCCTCTACTCGACCAATGCAGTCCCCAGTGCTGCAGCGGGTAACCTCACCGTGACCTTCAGTAGCCAACTAAACCAGCATAACCAGGTATGATGCTAAATTTTTACTCTTCTATCAACCTGTAGTCTTCGCTGGTATTAATGGGCTTTGTTGTTTTAACAGGTGCCTTCTGCAGCGGGTGCGGTGCCTTTGCTGAACTACCAGCCAGCTTTGTACCAGCAGGCGACCATCAACATTCCCGGGCTGACTCAACAGAGTGTCCCGATCCCAACGCGTCCTGCTGGGCTGTGTAGCCAGACGGAACCCTTCCAGCAGACACTCATCGTCTGTCCACCCTCCACTATCCAAGGTAAGTCATAAAGTTGAATACAAACATTCACTTTGATTTCAGTATTAAAGGTATGAATCCTCTGTGCTGGTTTGTGTCAGGCTTTCTGTACCAACAAAGTCTTGTTTTTTTACCATCTACTACAATTTTTGTAGATGTTGTAGTAGATGGTAGATCCTTTTATTCCTTTAATAATTGAGATCTTTGTCATCGTTTGTTTTCCAGGGCTGCAGTCATCCAGTAAGAGTTCCAGTTTCCCCGTGAGGGTGGAGAACTCTGTACCGATAGTACCTCAGAACCAGTCTACTCAGTCCTTGCAGATACAGCCAAGTATGCTGACACAGGTAAGAGTTTGGAAGGTGCAGCGTTTGAAGGAATTCTTGAGTTTTGTTTTGGGTTTTTTTAAATTTATGAATTTTATATCAAGAGACACAGCATCTTGTTTTTTGTTTTTTAACATTTTCTGTTCCCTAGTTATTTTGGGTGAGTTTGATTGTGGATTTACAGTGGGTGATGTTATGACTGTTTAAAAAAAAAAAGAAGAAAAAAAAAGCGCCGTGTGTGACTGTTTGCAACCTTTACCTGAGAATTTTTCCGCTTTTAGACGTGCCACACACTTGGCAAGAGAGTGGGAGTGCACACACGGGCAGGCAGAAAGAAGTGCCGCGGCTTTGACTGATTTGCTCACTTTTCACTGTTTTATTTGTAATTCTATGCTTCTGTGCCGTGAATGGATTCAGTCTTTATTGTGACCATTCGAGTGACAGCTGTGCATTCTCAATGGGTCCAACACTGAACATAGATGGAGGTTATATTCACATTTCCTGGAGGAAGAGATGAGGTTAAGTTGTAACTGGGGTCTGGTGTATTTGGGTTTTCTTTATTATCTGATATAACTTAAACGTACATAAATACACCTTTTTTTTTTTTCTTTCTTTTTAATAATCTGTCATTCAATAATTTCAGCTCAGGGGTTACTGTAAAAAATCTGGAAACATTCCGGTGTTACGTGCACCAGTTTGTGGAGCACTGATGCCTTGTTTTGCTCCTTTGTGGATGTACTGAGTGCATCTAAAAATTCTCCCTGCTTTTGTTGGTCTTACTGCCAGGAGGAAGGCAGATCAGGTTTGTCAAAGGAATTTAGGGCATAAGATGTTAGCTACTTAAATGTGAGTGTTGAAATAAGTCGAGGGCCTGGGCTTTACTGTAAATTCTGTTTGTTTTTCTTTTTCTGTTGACTGTGTGTCTCCACTTGAATTTGCTTTCAGAGCTGACTGGATCACCACTCTTGGCCAGGCCTCTTATTCCCAGTCTTTTTATGTGGGAGAAAGGCCACATGTGTAGTGAGACTCATCTGGCTCCAAAAGCTGGTTAATTGCTGTTTGCTAAAATGAGGAATAATTGCTGCACTCTGCAGAGGCCAGGTCTCCAGATGGCCAGCGGTGTCAGTGTGCATCTCTTGTGCAGCTGGGTGTATCTGCTCTGCCTGTTTTTAGTTTAAAAAAAGAAAACAATCTGTATCAGTCTTGAAGGGCGCTACTTTTCATCATGACTTAACACTGCCCCTCCCTCCTCCAGGGTTCCTGCACACCCCTGATGGTGGCCACCCTGCACCCACCCCCAGCAGGCCTAGCCCCGCAGTATTCTCTGCCCCTTGGGCTGGGCACTGGGGTGGGTCGGCCTACCCTCCTGGAACACACAGCCACAGTGCTGGTAAAGCAACGATGACATACCCGAAGAAAGACATGCACATGCACACTCCCTCTACCACTAACAATGCCATCTCTCTCCTGCCTGGCTCTCCCTTTTTTTCTTTTCTTTTTTGTTTTGTTTGCAAGTGTTCCGCTGCCTCTCTGCCACACATTGTATGGGGCCCATCTTTGTTTTACACATCGTATTTCAGCATCGTTCCTCTTCACATGTGGAATTGTCACCTTTCATAATTATGGTCGTTTGATGCAAATTTTTGTAGGAAAATCAAACGTTTTTTGTGTGTGTTCTGGCATCACATTTTATATTACTACTTTATTTTATAAACCCCCCTCCACAGTGCAAAATTGACCAAATTTACACTGCGTTTTTACTCATAAGGACATGCTCGCCCCACACCATTCACACAGTTTCATTCCCCAGTCTTTCCCTATAGGTCTGCTGAGGGCATGGAGCGCATGTGTTGCTGAGTTGGTCTGCGCTTTGCTTGCAGCTTCTCTTGTCATGTCCTTCCTTGGTTTCAGCAGAGGGGGCTGCAGCAACAAAGTCTTCTAAACTGTCCTGACAGCCTGTCTGACTCTGACACATACTTTTTTTCTTTTTTGTGTTTGTTTGTTTTTTGTTTCAGCCCCAGAACATATGGCATGCCTTTTCCCAAGACATATCATCAGCAGACTGTTTAGCAGCAGGGAACTCAACTAATCTCTTAAGTGTTTCTTCTTTAACAGGCACCATGGTTCTGTCTACTTGTCTTTATACCTGATCTGACATTTTACGGTGCTTCATTGTTTGTGCTTTGCATGATTATCATCTTGTGGATTTGTTGCAGGGCAATGTTATAATTAAGGAATGGCTTGGGAAAGGTTGCTCGCTTATCTAGCTTTGCGCTTTTGCCTGTAGAAGAGATTGGCCATTGGCTTGCCTCTTTGGAATTTATATGTCCGCATGGCTCAGTTTGTCTGGCCCATTCCAACAATCAGATAATTTGTTTTCATCCATACACAATTTGTCTTCCATATTACATGTACTCAAGTGTTGGTTGTTGTGTTTTCTTTTTTGTTTTTTGTTTTTTCTCAGCAGGCCTGGCCCACTGGTACCCAGCAGATCCTCATACCATCATCATGGCAGCAGGTCCCAGGCGTGGCCATCCACGGCTCTGCCCATCAGTCAAATGTCACCGAATCACCTGTGGAAACGATTCACTCAGATGCTGCCACGCAGCAGGGACACAGCTGGCGGTGGGTCAACCAGCAACTGTTAAAGATGCATGTAGACTGATGGGCTTCTCAAATTTAAAGCTGAATCATTTTCAATGTTATTTCTTTCAGGTTAAATTAGCATAAAAATAATGAAATCGTTTAAATATTAAATAACTTATAGCTTTTCATAACTAGTATCTGAAATGCTATGTTATTGCTATTTCATACGCAAACACTTTGCCCTCCAATTAACTCATTTCAGATAAGTTGATAAGATGCTACAAATCTTTTGGGGGTTTTGTTTAGTTGAGTAGCAAGACTAGAACTGGTTAATTTCATACTAAATGAGAAATACTGCATTGAAAGGTGAAGTAAAATGGCAAATATGAAGGCTAAACTAGTCTGACCTTTGACCTTATAGGAGCATTACCAAGACTCAGCAGGAGAGGAAGAAGGTGAAAGCCAGACGTGGAGAGAACAGAAACAGGTTGGTACAGCTCTGCTCTTCTTCCAGTTTAATTTTAAGAGTCCTCGTTGGGGTTTCAGCTACCATACTGAGGGAGAGATGGCTAAAGGGCCTGTGACGGTGGCCACACTGGTTCTGTCGCTTGCAAACAGTGACAGGACACTTTATACCTGTGCTGAGGGCACAGCATCCACTGCAGTATTCTGCTAAACGATACGTGTTGCCACTCAGACAAAAAGCATTTTTATGGAAGTAAAAACTAGTTGAAACTAGAAGCAAAGAAAATGGCTTTATTTTTAAATTTTTATTTAAAGTCTTCTTTGTGGTACCGCAGCTGAAATCACTTGTGCATGATGGGTTGAACACACAGTCACTGGTTGGTGGTGGTGGTGTTTTTCTTTCCCGTAGGGGTGTATCTACTGCATCAGTGGTCAGTAGTGGCGTGACTCCACCCAGCTCCAGCGCAGCCTTGTCACAGCCGATCGTGATCTCGGACACGCCGAGCCCAGCGGTCAGCATCATTACGATTCACAGTGACACAGACACGGAGGATGAGCATAAGTTCCACCCTGCTAGGTGAGAACAGGATGCTCTTCTGCACTGAACACAGTGGTGTGGTGTTTCTTTCTCAGATCACTTTCATTCCTAAGTTGAAATTTCAGAATGTCAAGGTAAATGAGAGAAATGCAAAGCAAGGCTTCTTTGAGCTCATAGACAGCACTGGGACCCAATTCATTTAGAATGAAAGCTGTTGACGTACTCGTTTGCCTGATATGACCCGGGGAATTACACTTACTTCCTCCACAGTCTTGGACTGAGCCAGCGCACCAACGTTATCAGCTGTGTGACTGTACACGACTCGGACTCCTCTACTGCCAGCCCCCTGACTCCCCTTCCACGCACTCTTAACGCAGCGAGCACTATGTCATCTCGCCAGGCCAAGTCTCTGGCAGTAGTGGCACCTTCAGTCAAAACACAGGCATCTGAGAGAGGAGCAGAGTCCCGTGGACGCTTGGAGACTGGTGAGTCACCCGTGTGCTGCTGTAGTTTTAGCAGTGTATTTACCTGAAGTGTGAAAGCTGCATAATTAAGTATGTCTTACTGCTTTGAATTCTCAGTGAATTACATCAAGCCCAAGAGATCCTCTAACAGACAGCCGTGCAGTTCAGGGGAAAGTGTGGAGCGCCATGGACTGGTGCCAAGCCAGTCGCACCCTTTAAACCTCAGCCAGGTGAGGCTTGTTTTATCTTGTTGGTTTTACATTAAGTAATTAATGTGTGTTAATGGGACATTGTTTTGTGAGAATCCTTGTCCATAACCACGCAACTAATCAACTACAGGAGGCTGGGCCCTTATTTTGATTGTAGCAATATGAGGAGAGTAAAAAAGGTTATGGGTAAGCTACATCAGAGTGCACCATTTCATCATGTGTTTGAGTGAAAAGGTCAGGAGCTGTCATAAGTTATGACATTAGCACCTTTTACCAGCAAAGGTATAAAACATTTTTTTCCCAAGGATTCTTAATATCCTGTTATTAAAGGCCTACGTGTATTTACTGCCCTCTGCTGGGGTAAATGTGTATTGAAACTTTTTCGGTGAGGTTTTGCATTTGTACCATATGCAGCGATTGGACAGCTAATGTACTGAACATCTAAAATTATCGAATTTTAGCATTAGTTTTGCTTTATATGCACATTATGTCAAGCACCAGGAGTTTCCCCTCGTTTTTTTTCCTGTTAAGGCTCCGGCTGTTATTTTTACAACACAATTAGGGCTGCAGCTGTTGATTATTTTAGTAATTGAATTATTCCATCAATTGAGTAATCAGAATTGCTTTTGTAAATAAAAAATATTAAATTAACGATTCATTTTAGAAATTGTAACAATTTCAAAATAAAAATAATACATACAGTGTATATCTGATAGATAGATTATATTATATATTTTTTTGTTTTGTTCATTGTATTTACATGCCAAGTTAATCTTGTTTTCAGGCTTCTTGGAAGGCTTTCTTACATTAGAAGAGAGCAAAAGGATTCTGACAGTATTCTATCTCCTTAATGTGTTTTCATGTGTGTTTTGTGTATGTATTAGATTTTATATTAACGTAAATCTTAAAAATAATGTTAGTAAAGTCAAATGTGCACTAGGGCACCCTATGCCCCCCTTTAGACCCACCCACTCAGACTATGTTAACAGGTCATCTGCACACACATGCGTTTATTTTAACTTCTGTAGCTGTTAAGATTTTTCACTGTACAAAACAAAGTGCGGTAGATGTGAGCAACTCCAGAGTTTGCTTTTCTTCATGTTGGAGCAAGTTCAGTAGGTGGTTTGACAATTTGTGGCAGTTACGGTAATGCTTTTTTTTTTTTTTATGACTGAGTTACTCAATGAATAATTGCAGTCCTTTTAATAAACCCAAAGATGTCTGTCAAATCCAAGGGGAGCAGTGTAGGTAAAACTAAAGACATTGCAAATGAATTTAATGATTTCTTTGTAAATGTTGGCTTTAATTTAGTAAAAGAAATTCCAGAGTCAAGAAATAATAACGACCTAAATAAACATATTACTCAGAATGTGTCCTCCATGTTTATTGGTGCTGTAACTCATAGAGAAATAATTAACATTGTGA